ACAGCCAGACCTGTCATACCTGCCAATGGCAAGAATAAAAAATACTTAAGTGGCATTTTACTTCAATTTATCTGTAATACTATACAATTCTTTTATAAATAGGTATGTTTTGAATTTAAGGACTGGTTCAATGTCATTGATTCACAGTGCAATAGTAATGTAACCACTGTAAATATAGTCTCATCTTTCCTATGAGTGGAAGGAAAAGAAATGTACTGTAAAACTTGGAACAAGGCCCGAAAAAGTGAGAAAGCAAAACACCGAGTTGCGTTATGAGTGTTTGATGCTGATATTATCCTATAAATAACATTTTCTTGGAAAGGGGCCATTTTATAACCCACCCCACATTTGATAACAAACCTGGACGCTTAATAATATCTAGACGTTTAATAATATCTTGATAAGGATAAAAGGTTATGGCTAGAGATAAAATGTATTGCGGCCATAATTTCGAGAGCCTCTACTAGATTATAAATTCAGAAAAAAAGCCATGAGTGATTTTTAACTAAAAGAAGCCAAGTATGTAACAACATTGCACTGCCTAATTCAAAACAATATTTTCTTTCGAGCACCGCTTGGTATAAGGGATATATACACTACACGTAAAAGCAGCAACAACTAATTATAATTTTATGTTAATCCTTCGTCAGAACATCAGAATTCATTTATAAGTAGCTTTCATATTTCTAATATAAATAAGAATCAATATTCCACGAGGAATATATTATGTAGGGCTTTTCTGCATTTCAATAAATAAATAAATAATATGAAAATGCAGTTGGCTTTATACGTATAAGACATCATTATAATCAGAACAATGAAGTTTTTTATTTGTTCACAAATTAATGGTAGTAGAGATGGTATGGTTTTCGTACGGGAAAACAGAGCGACCACCTCTTCCCCTCTCTAAAAGTTTTAATCACCCCTAGAATCTCGAGGGGGCGTGTCAGACACACAATTAAACTAATTGCACTGACGGCACTTGAACAAGAATACCTGCAGAGATGGATATATAGTGCCGGTATGCTTACCTGAATCTAAATGCTCCCAAAGGCTCGTGTAAGCAAACGGCAGTAATCGTTTTTTTGGTATGAGATGCAGTAGGCCCTATACAGTTTTCACCGCGTTTGTTTCTGTTCTTGTTAGGTGTTCGGCACTGACAAATGGTTGTACAGCCAGACAAATATAGATAAACAACTGCCAGTGAATAAACAGAATAAATGTACTCACAGATAAACAGATATATGACAAAATCCATGGCAAATCTATTGATAAATAGATAAAATCAATAAACATATAAAAACGTTTTTTCAAGGTCAGCATCAAGATCACGGTCAAAGAAGAAAACATTCTCTCTTGGTACAGTTCACACAAAGAAAAGTGTTTTTCATGTTCATATGTACTGGTTTCATAAAGGCTTTTAAACAAGAGACTTTTTGTCACCATAAACATTTTTTACAATAAGCACAAAAAACAATCATCGATTAAAACTTTTTTGAGCAAATTTCCACTTTATGTTGCCACTGGTAACACAACTGTCAACAGCAAGTTCACCGTCTGAAGCATTTTTTACGTAAAATCCTTCAGTTATATTCTGTATATTGGTCTCCCGTTTTTACCTATGGCGTACACCACTGTTGTGGAGAGCGCTGCCATGGCAACCGGCCAAAGGAATGGTAAAACTTGCGAAATCTCGTCATAAAAATGATGCTTTTTCTGCACATATCTGTGTTCTTCATCTAGTCTGTCTGCATGCTCTCTTAAGTTGATCAAAATGTGTCTGAAAAAGGGAAATACCTGTTTTAAATGTTATGTTGTGAAAGTAATTTATCATGATCTCTATAGCTAGTATAAAGAGGAAATGCTAAATTAAGATAACTACGACCTAAATATTAAAACATGTTTGTTTAATCGGATCATTAAGATTGATGTTTTTACTTAACTAGACATTTCAGGAAATAACGGAACCTAACAAATTTCTCAATGATTCCAAATTCTTTTGTCAGAATTTTTAGGTAAATGTGCAAATACAAGGATTGCCACAAAGAACATTGATTGTGGTACTTTTGGTTTGTTAACATCTGTATCAGATATGTACATGTATAGAATAGTTATCAAGGTCCATATAAATCCCCATTGTATACCTTAATCAATTTGCTCTGTTTCAATAAACTTTCATTTCACGCGGATGCACGTGTCTCTTGGTATACTTTCCTTGCAATATGAATGAAAATGGCAAAACAAATATAGGTCTACAAATACAGCGTTAGCATCAGAACCGAAAGTACTTTCACTTTCATACGTCCTCCAAATACTATTCTGTGAATTAATGTAGTCATGAATTGACCTCAAAAATGCCAGAACACCTACTACGCACCTTACACTAGATACCGCCGCATACACCCCCGTCTCAGGTGGCGCTGCAGTCAATAGAGATTTTGGCTGGTAATCTTCATTGCAGCGGGTCATGCCGGAGTCTTGAATTCCAAGCACGGTCTTTGCATCGGAATAAATGGACGGCCTCCTCTGGCACTCTGCAACGTAAGAACATTGCGGGAACCGAAGCTGGTGTGTCTGTAAAGCGTTGTGCCATCCCCAAGCATCCGGTTCGCCTTCCAGAGTCCCCTGACAGCTGTAAGCACACTTAACCACCCCTTCTTCTTCATCGGAGTAAAACCCAGCAGCGGCTAAGTTGCGCGAGATCTTCTCGCGTTCCGGTGATTGAAAGGACCACTTTTCAAAGGTTTTCTTTCTCTTCATAGGGTCCTCAAGCCCTTTATTACCCACTATCAACCCTGTGAGGACACGAGAATTGACACAAGGGTCATCTGGGTTTGATTCGTCCTCTAACATGATGGCGAAGAGGACGGTAAGTGAAATAACGGCCCAGATCCTACTTTTCTCCGGTCACTGGGCCCGTGTGAAAGCATGGTAGGCCTATATACATATATATATATATCCACTTCTATGGTGTACGCACTTTCTCGTGAACGGTTTCTTTGTACTTTCGGGGATTCCCCCCACTTTCTTCGGTCAGGGTCATAAGATTTAAATAAGGAGTCTGGGTTGCTGGTTGACAGAGATATTTATAATCTCTATAGGAGGTAATGGTAATATCAGCCTACGCCTCAGTTAGGGATGATGATATCACCTAAATTTATCATTCTGATTTTAAGTGTACTAACGTGACAGGTTTTCATCAGATAGATACCAAGACAAGACATATGTGAACTACAGGCGCGTAGGCGGCTTACATTTTAACATTGGAATGCTATCTATTCAGAAAAAAAAATCAAGAGGAGAGTGGGTTCCCCAAAGTTCCCTCTGCTCCGCTTCCCTCGTTATGACTAATGTGGTTTAAAAGGGGAATTGGGAAAGGGGGGATAAGGCCCCTTCCCCCTCAAAATCGCATCTTCAGCAGACTATTTTCTCGGATCAGGGCCTTCCCACCAAACTAATGACGGCTCTATTGACATTTTCATAAGAAGAAAGTCATAAAAATACTCAATTTTCACAATAGAACCGAAAGTAAAAAAATTCCAGACAACAGTCACGGTATTGTACGTAAATGGGGATTCCCCTCTGTAGTCGGAACCATTATTCGAGAGAAGTATACAATTTTGTGCTATGTGGAAGCAGTGGAATGTTTCCCAAACGACAAAAAGGTTTGCCCACGATCAAAAGAAAAAATGTTACTTTTTGTCAAACCATTTGACGTGCTAATAGTTAGACTTCACGGGTTTTGTCCAAAGTTGTTGACCAAAAAGAACTTATGTATGTACAATTCAACTGAAACAACACAGCTGGGGAAATTTAATAGCCCTTCTTGGCAACAACCAGAGGAATATCCGTGCATCACCGTCCAAGTCAAGATGGTGATTATTCTCATTCCGGCCATATTTGTACTACCGTGTTGCGTTTTTCCTTCTGGTAGTGACTAAGCATTATGGCCGAACAGCTGAATGCTTTCTAATTAATTCTACTTTTATATTAGGTCTAAATCTTGCCACTTCTTTGAATGTAGTACGGGACGATGACATTGAGACACACGTCAACGTTTGATGCAACACACGCGAAAATGTGCGCAAATCCTTATTTTATCGTTATATAGCACTTGCTTTCTACAATGAAAATGTTTGTGATTAAATCAAGTTGATTTTTTCCATTTTGCTTGTTCAAAGAGAAGAAATAAGGTTATTTAAATCGCTAGGCTTTCCAATTAAATAGTTTTCTGTTCATTACAGCGTTCTACTGTTGTAAGTGCTTTGGCCGAAGAAAAAAATTTAAAGAAAATAAGATACACCCCTGCCCTAGACATGATCCTCCTGCAGGAGGTTTTGGTTGTAAATCCATTCGAAGAAACAGCATAGCTGTCAGTTATTGTATTGTTGAAAGCTGCTATGCAAAATAAATGAATATTCATATTTTTGTTTTGTGTCAAGAGCTAAAAATGCTCATATTTCTTTTCTTTCTTTTAGTTTTATATATCATATTAAAAGTTTCATTCCTCAATAGCCTTAAAGAGAACTGTCTCTTTATTGTAAATAAAAAAAACATCAACCATATGCAATTAATAGCATTCTGTACTGTTATATTATTCTTTACTGTTACTTATTGTTGAACGCTGCTACGGAAAAATAAATGGTCTTATTTTTGTTTTGTACAAAAAGCTCCAAAAATGGCCAACATTTCTTAATTTATTCAGTTTTGTATATAACGTTAAAATGTTCATTGCTCAATATTGTTACAGAGAATTACCTTTAAATTGTAAATAAAAATTATTAACCATATACAATTATTATTTTATTTGCTTATCTATAAAGTTTGTGTCATTTTCTAGTATAGCTAACTGTAACAAATCACGGTTGTTTTGCGACTACACCACCCCCACGTTCACGAAAAGCCTAAGCGAAAAGTGGGGCACTACTTGTACGGGAACGTCATGACTCGTTGAAACTCTCTAATATAATATAATATAATATAATATAATATAATATAATATAATATAATATAATATAATAAAGAAGTTGCATGCATATACACCCATGTGATTAAATCAATATAATTAAAAAGAGAAAAAATACTCCGAATTTCACCCGTCGTTAGTCCTTAAAATCTTATTGTTAAATCATGCCGAGAAAATATAAGCATACCTTATTATATAAGGTATTACTATCACATACATTTATAATAATAAAAGTAAAATATACCCAAAATTTGGACTGGACAATGTTTAAAAGTCAAGTGCCAAAAACATTGAATAAAGCACATATAAGTTAATAGTAATTTTGCAATTCTGATTAATAACATTCTTAATATTCTTGAATATCTTATTGTAGTGCTATGGAGTTAGATTTACAAAGTGATACTGTAAACAACAAACATTTCATAAACACACCCTTTGTATAAACATTCAAGAAACATCAGAGAAAAGTGATTTAAAAGATAGGTCGTATACTATGTATAAGATGTACGATCTTTAAAAATATTTAAAATAAACTATTTACAAAATAACCCAGTAAGCAAACAGCACTTTTTGATTAACGTGAATACTTTCAAACATTTTTCACTCCGCGCCTCCTTCAATATCACTTTTCTAAGGTCTTCCAAGCATCATATTGACCTCAAACAAATTCAATAATTGAATAATGTAAATAGTTTCTTACAAGTATGTTCTGCATACCTTTGTCCCGTTTTAAACTTATATAATTTACCATCTTGTAGCAATTTAAAGTTGTGCGATAACAACGAGAGGTGTTTTTTTTTTTTACATTAAAAAACACTTTTAAAGTGATAACATAAAAAAAATAAAACATTAAATTCAGTAGGCCAATATTATTGTTCTTATGGTGTGTAAGGTCGGCCAGAGGAACCACAGGAGACCTGTAGGTGAAGCTGGTGGAGAAGGGGGTAGTAATGGGGGCTTATGGGGGGGGGGCGGGGGGACCTGTTCAAGCCATAATTTACATGTAAGCAAGTCATTTGCACCGTTGGTGGTACTCATCTATACAATGGTTATAACCATACACCAGTCTTTGGGTGATAGGAGCCCTTATCCCTGCAGCCCACGACACTGCAGTGTAATATATAATGTAAATATATATAAAATAACTTATCTTGTTGACAGAAAACTGAGGCTCATGGTGACCACGTAGGCCTGTCACATATTTTGACACCCTAGAGGTGAATGAATAACATAATGGACAAAGAAACTCTGTGTGTCATTTGTGCGCATATAACAAGGCCAGCCAGAAAAAACTTGCCAGGCTAACGGTCTTGGAGAATACCGACCTGATCGGGCCAGTTAATGTTGTCATGAATATGTATGTTCCACTTGTTGATAACAAAATTAAATGTAAGTTTTGTTATAACTAAACATGTTTGACTAGAAAATATGAAACTCAGTCTTTTTTCTAATGCATTACTACTGTTGTTCACACCTGTTTTTTTTCATTATTTCACCTTTATTTATTTATTTTTTTGTGTGTTTTCGTTAACCATTAACGCTGCCTTTGAATTGCATTGTTGCGGGATTCCCGGACATCAGTTGTAGACGCTGAACTTTTTAAAAAGCCAAGTGCATGAACATCATGAACATGTTGTCAGTTGTGCCCTTTGGGGAATAGAGGCATTGGGCAGTTGGACCATCCCTTCTTTAGGAAACTGAAGAACTTTTCTATAACCTGAAGCGTACATATTCCCCAAGACATACAAGTACTAGAGAAAGGCTTGAAAGATCATTATCCCTTCTTCAAGACATATACGTCTTCACTGTCCCTCGTATGTCCACCCGGCAAATGGGACACTTCATCAGCGCGGGAGCACATGATTCGCAACACACAAAATGGCCGCAGGGAAGAATCACTACAGCGACATCAGCGTCCATGCAGATTTTACAAATTCTTTCATCCCTGAGGCGCTGATTTTCTAATCTTAACGCCTCGGCCATGTCTTTGTCTTGCCCATTAACAAATTGGCTAGCTTGGTGGTTGCTATAAATTTGTGACTTTTGAGAAGCAGGAATTTCCTTCAGAATGGCTGCAACTGGCTGTTCCTCCCCATATTGTGGTGAGGGGATGGTTTCACATAAAGATGTTTCTGCTTCAGAGTCCGAGGAGTCGGAATCTATTGCCGTGCCTTCCATTTCCAGTAGGTAGTCCAGAAACTGCTCGGCATTCTCAAATTCCTTGCCTGGTATATGAAGCATAAGCATTTAGGAGCGTGCAGAATACATTTTTAACAGTTAACAAAGCAATGGTATTTTCTAAAATTAACAAAAAAATTGTACATAACCAAACCCCAAGTGCAAATTGGAAACATCAAAAATTGCCATATTTATCGTAATCTATCAAAACAATTCTGACACACCACGCTTATTTTGGTAGAATAGAACAGAATATCACATATCAAAAATCAAAAACACAAAAAGAAATTCATAACAGAGTATAAACTTTTATCAATAAATTTCACCTGTTTCCTTGATGTATTTCTTAATGACCTTCCTGGCGTGGTGTTCGGAGCAATCAACGACCCCTACCGCCGCTTTGATATATGGTTTATTCATATCAATCTTTCTTTTGCGAGGGGAAATGTTGGAGGAGAAGGTCATGCACACTAAGCCACCATTTGAAGCGCTCGATGTTGGTGCAGCTGGCGGTTTCCCAAGCGATTTTAGCTGTGCTGCCGTTGTCAACCCATGGCCCTGAAGGCAGTTAGAATGAATTGAGGAAAATGTTTTGGATGCCAATACAAAATAAAGAAATCCAATAAAGATAACAATACCAACTCCAACAAAAATTCACTCTCTCTGTGTGTGTGTGTGTGTGTGTGTGTGTGTGTGTGTGTGAGTGAGAGAGAGACAGACAGACAGACAGACAGACAGAGAGATAGAGAAAGTGAGAGAGGTTTTCCAACAAAAATTACCTTTCCGCCAACTCTTTGCCCATTCTCCTGAAAGTGTTCCAAAACATGACAACACTGCGGAAACCAAGTCTTGTGCTCTTCCCAGGGGTCGTCTGTCGGCTGCCAGTTACACAAACCCCCATCGCAGAAAAAGCACTTTACGCTGTCATTCACGCCTAAATAGTAAAGTCCAGCTTCTGCTAAGACATTTGGGGTCTGCTTTATACCTGGTGGCCATCTGGCAAACGTGGCTAAACGAGCTGGGAAAGAGGACAATTCTGGTCGCGCTGGTATCATCCTACTGCCCATTTTAGATTGCGGCGACCCAGTTACGTCAGTGGGAACCTGAAACGTATTAGTCTCGTTGTAGGAACAAGACTTGTTTGCTGAATATTGTGCCGCAGCATGTATTTCCGGTTGAAAGAAAGACCGTTGCTTTTCACGGAGATTTTCCTGCACGAAGTGAAACACACTCGGGTCTCTCTGAAAGTCAAGGACGAACTCGCACCTAGGAAAATGGCGCTGGTGTTCTCCAATAGCCGTATCTCCTACCTCAAAATTCCTAAGTCGCCCGTCGCAGAAGACGCACTTAACGGTATCGGCGGGCCCTGTATATATAAAACCTGCGGCCGCAAGATCTGTCGAAGGCACTGGGTTATACTGCGGCCAATTTACAAATGTTTGCCACCTGTCCCTAGCTTCAGCTAATTTCCATTCATAAATTGATCTATGGGGATGGCAACCACGCCCCTTTGTGGGGTAACCAGGACTTGGGAACAGATTAGTTGAGGGGCGTTGTATCATCACCGTATCAGGCTGATCAATTCCTTGGTGGAATCCAGCGGCGTTAGACGAACCAGATGTGACGTCATTTGTAACGTTACCCTGCCAGTTACAGAAGTCATTTTGGGTCATCCTATCTGAAAAATCGCGTCCCTGTCCAGTGAACTGGTTATAAGTAAAAATGCTCTGATCATCCATATTATCATATATTGTACCCTATGTGATTGTCACGTTAAAAGTTGCAAGTTTTATTACGTGTCCACTAACGGTGGGCCCTTCAAGTTATAGTTTGAGCTATATTTATAAGTAAAGTAAATTCAAAACCAACTTGGAATCGTCAACTGTTAAGAAACAGATTTAATACATCTTCTGTTTCAATATTTTAATTGACTAGATGAATGTTTGGCGGGGGAGGACCTTGGTCTTGTGTACGTGCTATCTCCGCACGTTGTAATGAAGGACGTTTGTCGCAAACACAATACTTATGTGTACAAGAAATTCGGGTTTCAACTCTTGCGATATGCTTCGGGGTTGTCGCTATCAGTAGTATGATAGGCAAAGCGAATTTTCCATATCTGATTTTATGTTGTTTTGTGTTTTGTGAAAACACCCCCATGCCCTAAACCGAATGCTTGGTTGATTCCTGTTTAGTTTATTTTAAACCATTCACGTGAGCCGCCAAATCATGAATACGACTGCCATATACCATGGGATCACTGTCGAACACGAAATGTCACCGAGGTTTTATCTGCAATTATAAAATAAAGGATTATGAATTTACGTCAAAAAATGAAAGAAAATTAATACGCAAAGAGCCACTTCCGGAGGATTAAAAATTATATCAATTACTTTGCTATTAGCTGTTTAATGAAACTAAATTTCTGATATATATATCATTTTATTTATTTTTCCATTTATATTACTATACATGTGCAAAACTGTAAACTAGATGGTGCCCATGAGTAACCATGGTATATCCTCGCAGTTTGCCACTAAGTCAGGAACAACCTACCCTGGAGACCCCCATCTCCTAAATATCAATGCCACTGGCTGCTTTTGATTATTGAAAATAAGCATCAGAATATAAAATATGAGAAATATGATAAATATATATATAAATAAATGCAGCTCCTCACAGAGCAAGGGGTTGCGGATTACAGCAACCTTTATTTAACAAATATTAGCTAATGATTATCTATTTTCTGAATGCAGTGGGCACATCTTAATTTTCTGAAGTAGCTGATGTTATGACACGCTGCTGTAATGCTTTCTTTTTTTTTCAAAAATAGCTAAGTAGGCTATAGTTTAAATTACATTTATTTATCTTAAGCTTAAGGCAATTTAGCGAGAAACCCCTTGAAGATGGATTGATCCACATTTAGTACGACAGTGTCTGGGAATGGTCCCTTAATCCCCAGGGGCAGCCTAACCCTATGTCGCACTTAAAATCGGATCAGTTCATTCTGGGTCTATCATCTATCTAAAAAAATGAATCGAAAATCTCCAAAATTGAGGCCTCTCTTGCTGGAAAAAAAGTAAGAATGGCAGCACATTCCTCAGTCTGAGTCATGATAATTATAACAGCTTCAATAATCCATTTCCAAGGAACAGTCACATCCCCAGACGCGCTATGTTTGCGAAGGGTCCGAGCACACCCCTGATGATGGGTCTACATTAATCCCCAAACCTTCAGTTTCCACAGTGCAAGGTCAAGGTCGAAATAGCAGGCATTAAATGTAATGTGAAGACAGGCCCTAGTTCTCCTCCTCCCTACAGGAAAAAATATTAAATTGCTTCCTATGTGCCAGGTGACAGTAAAGACTATGTGCAATGTGTGATAGGGCTGAAAAAAAGAAAGCAACTTAAATAAAAATTGCTTTTCCATGGCACATCTGTAGGAACTTTGCAGAAAATTTAAATCCAATTTCTAACTTCCTTATTTTGAATTAGGGAGGTCGAGTCAACTTTGGAAGTAATATTAATATCAAATTGATATTTTCCGATAGAGTAATTCATGAGCTTTCCAAATCATTTAATTTTTTTGAAAATCAACCAAGCCAATCAAAAGTTATTATATTTACAAGAATGCTAGTTGGCCACAAAATTGTAAAAAAAGTCTTCTATGCAAGCATATGTAACAGTTGATGCCAAAAGTGTCACCGAATTGCCCAATTAATTAAACAAAATCGCCAGAACTTTTGAATGGGGTAAAATATCCATTGAAACAATCTAAAAAGATTGAAACAAGAGGAACCAACCAAAATGTAATTTTCTAGAATTTATCTACTATTTCCATGGCAACAGTTGCTAAATGTCAATAGCGATCAATTCTATTTTTTAACCTTAAGGCTTCAGAATCACTGTCCAAAGACATAGCTGTTGCTATGGTAAAGGTCTGAATTATTTTTCATACATTATCATGAATTATTAAACTGAATATGAAGTGGGGATACGCTCTTGGTACTCAATACATGAATTTAAAGGGAAAACAACTGTTCATTTTGCCGCTCCCCCCCCCCACAAAAAAGTATTTTCTTGAGATAAACAACAATTTCCCATACTTACAAATGGTTAATGAATCCATTTCAACATTCAAATATAGTACCTGTGTTTTTTTTTTTGTTGTTGTTGTTTTGTTTTGTTTTTTTCTAAAAAGTTTTTTTGGTAATATTCTCTTAAGAGATTATTATAGAGTGTAGTAAGCTATGGAGGCCACGTGGTGTGATGGCAAGCACAAATTTCAGAATAGTTGCGTTAACCGTTTTAGTAATAAAATAGAATTTATTATATTTCTATGAGTTGTTTATAATGTATTTATTGTAAAATACGAATATCATACAACAGTTGTTTTCCCTTTAAGCTGAATAGTTAACACATGCAATGTCACATGGCATCCAATATTATAATATGGCAATTGCATATACGATTTAAAAGTTAGAGCTAGTATAAAAGTGCCAGAATGCACAATGAAAATAAGTAATATCATATTTTGGTAAGTTATCATTTTACCCAAAAATTGAAAATGATATTGGACATCATAGCAGCTAGGAAATACAAAACCCGATTATTATTATTATTTTTTTTTTTTGAGAGAGAGAGAGAGAGAGAGAGAGAGAGACCATAACGTAATGGCAGTTTTAGGAGATTTCAATTTATTTTTGTTAAGAAAAAAAAAATACTACTTTTCTTCATTTTTGTTTGACGGTCAGTAACCATTCTAAAGTTATTGCATATCTCCATGATTTAATTAAGATTCCTCTTTTAATGTTCACTAGCGAGTTCAAAGTTGAAAAAAAAGCAATAGGCCAATCGATATCATATGTAATTTCATACTTTGTTTGAAAAATAAATAAACTCTATATTCTTGAATTTCGTGAACAATATAAAGATTTTCCGATTAGATATTCTTGCTGCAAGTGCAGTTGCTTTTTCATCAGCAGAAAAAACAGCTTGGTGCGTCCGCTATTTTGTTTGCGGTAAGACCAAAGTCACTGATTTTCTAACGGCTGTTACGGCCAAGTCTTACCAAAAAATGATAAATAAATAACTAACTTGAACCCAGGGTAAGTTAAAGTATCTAGTTATGGGTAACAGAATTTTCTTCGTTACTCTAATCCCAAAAAAACTTTATAAGCTAGTTGTGGCTTCTGTTTTCGGTTAAATCACCTTCTGTAACCTATCAGTCGGACAACTGGTTCATTTACTGCATGAATATGTGGCCAAACACGAGGAAATAACATCTGGGACGCCGTACGGGGCTTTTGGAAAAATGGCGCGAAACGCGTAGGTTAAGCAAGATTCGTAAATAGTGGGAACCAAACGAGGAAGTGAAATCACCGGCGAATTCTCGGCGCATTTTTCGCGGCTGGAAGCTTACAACGGAGAAATGATACAACGTTACAAATGTTGTTAAAAAGCCCATTCAATGTTCTTTTCAAATATATTTTAACATTCATCATAAGATCCAAATATTGGAAGTTATGATAAAATACAAACAGCGAGGTTAGTTTTTCCCCTTTTGGACCGTGTGAGCCTGAGCGGTTTGACCTGACCTCCCTATCTGAATAAAAAGCCTACTACATGTACGACTATCTTGGTCGCTCTATAGCTTGTAGACCTATTCAGGTCTTATAAACAAATAAGCGTTCCTTATCTCGAGCCTCGGGCTTGTGATCGCGAACGCTGAAGTAACGATTCAAAACTTAATAAAGAGGGACTTTTGCTGCTATATATAGCTTGTGCATATAAAAGGTATTGATTCGTCACGTGAATGCTTCATGCAACCAAGAGATACGCTCTGCGCGATATTGAAAAGAGAAACTACATGTACACTAACATCTGGATTAACTGTCTACATCTGATGATAAATAATACAACATCACGTGACCCAGTGATTTAGTTTACTACTGAGACAATTCTACTGACCGTTTCGACATTGGGTGACACGAAATAACCAATAACATCTAGTGATTCTTGAACACCTGCCAGCTTTTGTTTGACGTGGTAACTAGGTCACTGCGTCACATCTCAGATTTTGATTCGTTCAACCAGACGATATTTGTATGGTTAAGCCGTTGTGACCTCGCATGCTCTCCTCTTGCAATCACAAAAAGCGACCATATAATGCCGCGTTTTTTTTTTTTTTTTTTTTGTATACAGTGTACATGTGCCTGTGTGTGGAATTTGGTATTGCCATATCTGATATATATAAATATATGAAAGGGCAGGTGGCAATTTATAATAATTTATTCAGCTTGCTGTATGTCTAATTTGCTCCGTCTAATACTCGCTTTTCACAAGAAAAGGAAATGGGCCGCTGATAACTAAACGACTATTAAAGTAGGCCTTAGCAGATTAAGTGCTGTAAGTTGGTTATTTTACACAAGGAAGTTTAAGTAGCCTACATATATAGGCCCCTATATGGGATCGACCATGCATGTGGTACGAGTACATGTATAGGCCTACTTCCTTGTTTTCCTCGCGTCGTTACTCATAACCCATACCGTTACTCGCTCGCTGCTTCCTCTTTCGAAAATGTGGGTAACTTTCGGTTCCCTTTCACTTTCGTATTTACAATACCGTTTTTATCTTTAAAATTATTTTATACAGGGTATCCCAAAATTGTTTCCAATTTGATGATATTTTCGACTGAAGGAAGGCAATCGTGTTTTTACCCATTAACGTTAACCTGTCCTACAAGCATATAAGTTATTTTGTATGATGTTATTATTTTTCTTGTGCGACACCATTTCTAATTAATTTCTAATAAAGTACAGCTCAATAGTTTATAATGCATTCGATACAAGCACCTCGGCGTTGAATCTCTGGGGCTACACGCAAAATAGCCTACAGCTGATCCCGCCCCTCGAATTTTATCCTAAAGGGCGTTTGGTCGATTATACCTTGTACGTGTAGATATCTGTCTGTTGGTTATCCCCACAGAAAACGGCTCGGAGGAAATACTTTAAGTGTGGAGAACGTGCAGGGGGCGTCTCGATAGTCCGAAGGTTCATTGGTCCGAAAATCGATAACATTTTCATCGGTTTTTTAATCAAGGGTTCATTGGTCCGAAGGTTCTGTAGTGAACATTCGGACCAATGCACCTTCGGACTATTGAACCTTCGGACTATTGCTACGGCCCCAACGTGCAGAAGAAGGTTTGGTCTGTTTTGAGGGAGAAGAGCCAAGTTTTCTCTTGGGGGTATTGAACAGTGGCGGATTTAGAGGAAGGGGGGGGGGGGGGTCAGG